AAAGCATGGAACAGTGGTACCTCTGGCGTCATCGAGCCGGATGACATCTTGGAACCGAGAACGCGGTCCTCCTTGTCGTCTGCAAAGCAACCGACGTAGTTGTCGCCCATAGGAGCAACCGGCAGGCCCTCTGACTCAAGCTCATACAGAGTGAAGGAATCGAAGCCGCCGCACTTGATGGAAGAATCACCACTACAGACATAGTCGCATGTGCCATCGCCATGCCTGAGGTCAATGTCGGGTCCTTGGCACCAGCACTGCGTAAAAAATAGGAAGGAGCTTGGGAAGGTCGGTCAGTTGTGCCCCCAAGGTTAACGGGGCGGATTTTCAAGCAAGACCACGAACTGAATAGGTTTACAGTGGTCATGGCTAGACCCAACCGAAACAGAGATAGGTCAAGGTGACGATGCGGCGCTCGCGAAGCCCCGCACACCTACCTCCTGACCCCATTGTGTGGCGTAATACGTGTAGAGTGAGGACTCCGCACGGCAGTAGGCAGCACAGACCTGAAAGCAGCAAAAACAAACAGAGACACAGCAAGTGTAGAACAGCCACGAACAAACCACCGCCAACAGTCGAGAATTACATCAAAGTGCGTACCTTCGCAACCCGAAGTGGTGCGGCGTTGAGGAGGGACACTAAACATGCAACCACATTGCGGATGATAGGTGTAGTTCTTGTTCACGACCACGTGCGAAGTGTTCAGGTACAACCCCAGACGATCGATCCGAATCTATTGGCATGGTCCATGTAGCTATGGAGCTGTTCCATCAAATGCCCGGCGAAGGAGGCGGATCAGCAGAGCATGCGGTGAACGTACAAACTCCAGTGAAGTCCCTGTAGCCTCAGAGTTATGTGAGGACGGGTTCCGCTGCTGAATGTCCTCTGGCGACACCCCTCTAAACTTACCAGCACAGCACACACTCACCGCTGGGGTCATGGAGCTGCTCGACCATTCCGCTGTCAGCACTCGGTCGGACCGGTCGTCTCCGAAACACCCTAGCGACTCCTCTTGACCTAGTGAACGTAGATATGACAACGTGTTCATGAACCGAACAACAGGCGTGCCCGAGGGGAGGAGGGTTGACGCTTGGTGAGAGTGAGGGGAGTACGGGATAGAAGAACATGATTCGAACGCGACTCGTGGACGATAAAAATATTTTCTACATCTTGTATGTCTTTCCATATGCTCGGAGTCATCGTTTACGAAGGCCTGTACGGCTCACCGAATCACAACCGCCGGGTTGCGAGCTCGACACTACGACGGTCAAACCACGGGGAGAAAGGAGTACGTGTTGAGACTTTAACCGAACTCTACGAGGGTCGTCGATGGCAATAGCAACAAGCGTCGTTGACGAAGAGCGAACAGGACTTGGCGAGAGCCTCGCTGCGAAACAACGCCGCTTGCCGGTACTCTAAATTTTAAAGGCCCTGGTGACCTCCCGGGGGGAATGTGCCTGGTACATGGTAGGGTACTACTCACCAGTCGATGTGCGCACGAGTGCAGCACCGACCACGGCCTGGAGAACCAAACAACGCATTGCAGGCTATCGAGGACCTAAGTCGACGGGGGCGTTCCTACAGACAGACGAGGGGCGACGGGGATTGCGAAACCAAGATCAGCGGGATACAGGCATGCGCAGATGTTGCTTGCTCGATCGCGTGGAACACAGCCCTGTGCCAGCCTAGACACACTGGCCATCGCTAAGAAGCCCGACAAACCATGAGAAACAGACTGCGAGGAGAGGACACAACCGAACCGGACGACACGAGAACAGACTAATAGATGCACACAATCCTGGCAAACATTAGGGAGCTACCGGGAACGGACGCAGTATGCCGTGAGAAGGGGCTCGGTCGTGGCCGGGCAGTACTCGATCATCTGATGCCAGGAAACCAGAGGCCGCCGCCAGCACCGCCCACTGTCCGGATCACCACCCATTAAACTCTAGGCGGTGATACTATGTATAGGGACCAAAGGGGAAATGAACAGACCTCCACATTGTTCATGGAGTAGACCCGCTCCCCCGACTTCTTTTTTCTTATGCATACAGAAATAACACAACCCTCCCCCTCCCCGGTGTTTACCCCCTGCGACCCTGGATGGTTATAGTTGTACGAAAAAATAAATTGAAGCTTGCAGTAAATGCACTACGAATAACGGGGGGACAGTCGTCAAAATAAATAGGATGAAAAACAACAAGATCAATGTCGTCGAGCGGAGCGGAGCAGTTGTTTCGTAGCACACGTGTGTTGTTTTTGTGGTTAAGTCTTCTCCGTCGCAAAAATCGCGGGAGAATAGTGGCCATGGCGACGGTACACGGTCACACGAAACTGCCGAGTCATACAAACGTGGCGGTTCATCACATACGTTGGGTTTGGTACTGCGTTGAAGTTTTTACGTTGTGCACGGTGTGCTGGGCGCGTGAAGGCCGGCGGCAACACCAACGACACAGGTTCCAGCGGCCAGAAAAGGAAGCCCAAAATAAACCTAGGTACAGTATTCAAGGCGCGAAACCTCAGAACGTGCTAGTAACGTGAACGCATTCCGGTTGTTCGGAACCTCTTGGTCTCTCGAAACGTTGAGTATTGCGGCCACAATAGTTGTACCTTGAAGCACCCGGGCACCCGGGGCGGGGTCTGACCGCTCCTTTGTCTTAGACTTGTTCGAACGCATGTTGGACAATTTGTTTTTTTTTCACCTGCAATATTTCCCGTCTACCTTCCACGCTCGTTACTCCTTCAGAATAAATTTGAATCCCATGGCATACTTCGTGGTTGCCCATGACATGTACCATGGACAATATGCCATGGAGTTCCATGGATGTCCACGAGCACCTATGATATATACCATGGAATTTCACTAAAGTCCATGCGTGTCATGGAAGGACAGGGAATGCCACCGCGGCAATTCAGGCCAATAGACCGGATCTTCCCAATTCGTTGGTTTGAGGAAGAGCAGAGATCGCACCCCGCACAAGCACGCGTAAAGCTTGCTGCCTCCACCAGCTGGCGCGCTGAGAGTGGTCTGTATAGTCTTCCTGGCCATACGAGCCTTTCTCACACAATGATCCGAGCAAACAATTGCATGGAAATCGATGGAATGCCATGAAATCCCATGGTAATACTTCAACAAGACTGTCTCATGAACATTTATTGATGAATGTTCAAGGAAGCACACGAAACGCCCAGGAGGTGTTTTATACAGACGATGCGCCGTCCATCATGAAACGTTTGGTGGACTTCCACGGACTTCTTCCATGGACATGGTATCATGGACTCTTCTGAAACTTTTCATTGTTTTCACGGACTTCCATGGAGCCATGGCATTCCACGAACCTTCCATGAACTTCCATGGCACGTTTCATGGGTGTCCATAGCAGTCCTTGGACTTCCATGAAACATTCCACCAAAGAGTAAACAAAAAGTAGATGACTGCCCAAAGGCAGCGAGCGTACGTCTACAGCATTTTCCAAGCGTGTGTTCGGTAGGGCATGAATGAAGGCACACCGGGATATACACCGGCGGTATGTACCCTAACGAGCGTCTCGGTATGCTTCGGAAAGGTTTCAACACCTTACCAAACATCTCGGTATGCTTCGGTAAGATTGCAATACCGTAACGTATTGTCGGTATCCCCTTGACAGATACCGAGGGTGCCGGTACGGCTTCGATGAGCTTTCGACACCTTACCGAAAATCTCAATACGCTTCTGTAAGGTTTCAATACCGTATCGAGCGTACCCGTACCCTACCGAACACACAGGACCGACAGTTGGACTTTCAGTCATGAACTGCAGTGGCACAGGGCGTATATAGGCTGCGGCAGTGAGCGACCGTGCGTTTCGCGGTATCTGTGTTACGTCGATCTGCACAGGGGTCGGTGTCACAGCAGATGGGTATTCTACAGTAATGTATCGCGCAGCCGTTCATGTTTGTTTGTGAGCTTCAGACCTCGATCACTTTCTTCTTCACACTACACATCGATATGCTCGTGCTTCACCCCTAGGTCAAGCTTACTGTTGTATTCTTGTCCTTTATCTAGATCATTCAATGTAAGTGTTGGGTTGGGTTGGGTGAGGCCTCCTGCACCGGCCTGTGGTCCCGCCCATGACTTTCCTGTTGATTGTCTGATCTACCATATATTGCTTTGATAACTCAAGCCTCTACGTAGAGGTCTCTCCCCACCCAAACTTTTTATTCCTGCGGCGCGCACACATAAAAAATCGAGTGAATGAGTGGCCGGCCAACAATCGGCAACGTGTTTTTGTCAGCAGGGTACTACTTGCTACGGCTCGTCTTGGAACCCGCCATTTCTACATTATTAGTAGGTGCCAAGCGCTCTCGGTATGCCGCCCGTGAATTTTTCATGATAACAGCGATCGCAGGTCCATCCAGCAACTGTGCCACACAACCCCCGTCCCGAGAGGAAGGCATCGTGTAGCGGTGTGGCAGCCCGTGACGTCCGCGCCCGCAACCACGGCGTCAACGGAGTCGTGGAGGGTCTTACCAAACTGGAATTTGAAGAAAAGATCCTCCCCCGCTGGCAGCCGCAGAATCTGCGATCTCATCGTCAAGGAGAGATCGTCGTGGCCGCGACCGCCAGCAAGAACAAAAAGCGACGTCCCTGGTTTGCTCAATGCGTACCACCAAAGGCGACCCAGTTTTTGTCACCGGAAGCGCATGTCCCTCAACAAATCGAAGAGGACATGCGGCAACATAGCCTCTGCGTGGTTGACAAAGCTTCAATTCCTTCCCCGCAGACATGACGTAGGAGTCTACGAGAGGACTACGACACGGGCTGCCCGACCGCGTGACAGGGTCCCAGCTGCCGTCTTGCCCCAACTGCTTTTGAATCGCCATCATCAACTTGAACACGATCCCTTTCTGCATCGACGTGACTGCGTACTGTTGGCGCATTGCGAAACTAGAAGGCATGCGCGGAAATGTATCGTACCTAGTCTATACGCCAAAGCATGGCTCTGTCGTGCACCCACTTGGTGCCTCTACAGTGTGTGTCCAAGAATCAGAGGCATTCGAACGCGTCTTGGCCCGAGGCCTGCGTTCATCAACAACGTTGTTCGGTCGCCGAAGCCATGAGAGCAACGGCGACCAGCTGCACATTCTCCCAGAAAGCACGGAAAACCCTCCGGGTTTAGCCGAATGATGCTTTCGCGCCAGGGGAGAGAGATACCATCAGCGACGGCATTGGCAGCCAACGGTTACTTGGCGGTCCCGTCGGTTGTTTGCCAGACAACCACCGGCTAGTTGTTCGTAAACACCTAGGTGCGCAAGACTCTGGAAGAGTTGGTGTCTGCAGGCAACTAGGTGCGCACGCTCCTGAGAGAGTAGTCATCTACAGGCAACTAGGTGCGCACGTTTGTTTCTGGAAGAGTAGTCATCTACAGGAAACTAGGTGCGCACACTCCTGGAAGAGTAGTCATCTACAGGCAACTAGGTGCGCACGATTCTGGAAGAGTAGGTGTCTGCAGGTATCTAGGTGCGCACCCTCCTGGAAGAGTAGTTGTTTGGCAAACAACTACCAACTAAAGCAGTTGTACAGGGTGTGCAAGATTTGATACGCCGCCTCAAGATTTGTCGGAAGACTCGTTTCGACAGATAGATAGATCTTGGGTCAAGATTTGTTCCAAAGGGCAGATTTCGGACCTCGAGAAATCTAGCCCAAGATATATCGGAAGATTTCGCTTCCATAAATCGTGAAACTGGCACATCTTGGCCAAGATCAAGATTTATTTATCGACAAGATTTTGTTTCCATTAATCGGGGTCTTACTCAAGGAAATACTCAATAAAGATAAAAATGTGTTACTTTCCACACACCAATAACAATCGGAGCACCCCCTCGAATGCAATATCTAGAGGGATGCGACAAGACCCAACTGTTGGAATATGTGGCACTACCGTAGCTTTAGCATTTAGGTAGTCAGTTTGACTAGTTCAAATATTGTCAATGTCGCTATGTCATGTAGTAGGTAAAATTCCTTATGGTCTGTCATACTCGGAATATGGAGACATGGTTGATGTATGTTCTGTGTTTCATATCCAGAAATAAGCTGCATAGCCTAGATTTCCAGAAATATGTCATAATAGTGCAAGTAGCTCAGACTTGCGTGCTCGGAAATATATATGCATCGGGTAGTTGTCGCAAGTGCCTCTGACTTGCGTGTATGAAAGGATAGTACCGCCGCAAGTAAGTCAGACTTGCGTGCTTGAATGAATGAATATTCGTATGCGCTCAGCAGTCGAATTTGGAAAGTACAATAGTTCAATTGTTGAAGCTGTATTCTGCGGTTTGTCGTACGTCAGTGCAAGTAATCACTTGTGCGTGCAAGTACAATACTTGATGTGCATACGTGACACAAGTTCGAGAGCATGGTGTTGAAGTCATCTTTCCAGAAACGTATCGTAGCTTACCAGTACCGTATTCTGAACACGTGTGATTGGTCGACGTTGTCGGATAGGTGTGATTCCATGATTTCGAGGATGAGCGCGTACTCGCCCCATCCTCTCACTCTGCTTCTT